CGATGCTAACCAGTGAGTCCCCATTTCAAACCAATGTACAGAAAAAACGGCAAAATGTAAAACTCTGGACTGCAGATAAAAGTCATATTACAACATCCATCCACAGTAGTTGCCACCTGAGAGGTATTACACCACCGATAGAAATGTTTTTGTGATTTCAGTCAGGATGTCTCATTACATTATTGATCAAGTTATCACACTATTGGGTCCTACGACATTTTCCATCAAGTTAGGTGCACATGTTTTTTTTACACCTTCAGTAACTTATTGCATTATTAGGTTCTACAATGATGTTTATTTTATTTAAATTAAATTATAAATACTCGTCACGTGTCACATACAGGTAGAACTTTATCACATTTTAACACGTTGCAACAAGAAAAGCAGAAAAAGTCTAATAAATAATATTCATGATGGCTGCATACCATTTAGTTTGGCCAGTTCCAGAGTCATTTCAGGGTTCTCATTTAACTCAATGGCATTTTACATTATAGTAGATGTAGTTTTATTTCGTGACATTCATTTTATTTATGTATTTTTATTAAATGTAAAGTAGCTGAGGTGTCTTTTTCAGCGAGGACGTGCTAACATGTTCTAGCAGGTTTAAATAATGACGTGAATAATGTCTAAATTCTCTGTAGCTGCTTTACTCTCAGGACCTGAATTATTCATAGCGACTCTTTATTACATTATTGATCAGGTTATTACATTTTTAGGTTTTTATTACATTTTCAATCAAGTTAAGTGCACGTTTTATTACATTTTAGTCGACTGTCGCTCCATTAGGTGCTACAATGCTGAATATTTTATTGAAATTGATTCATAAACGTATAACGTAACCTTCAAATAGAACGGGGTTATCCTTAGTGGGATTTGTGATGCCTGCTGTGACACGTTGAAGTATCTGATGTGAAAAATGTCTGCTGTGATTTAAGGTGAGGGCTATTTTATGTGGAACGTATCCATAATAATAATAATAATAATAATAATAATAATAATAATAATAATGATAAAAGAGAGCGGTAATGCAGTTTCACTTCATGACATTTATTATGTATCTTTAATAATGTAAAGTATCTTTTTCACCAAATTCACATTTGAACATGTCATAACACGTTTATAACAATGTTTTAAAAGGCTGAATTATTTGTAGCTGCTTTGCTTTCAGCCCCCAGATTATTTATCTTTATTACGTTATTGATCAACTTATTACATTATTGGGTTTTATTACATTTTCAATCAGGCTCATTGCAATTTTTTTTTGTATATTAATGGGCACTAAAAAATTTTTTTTTTACTAAATGTAGTTTCACTTCATGATATTTATTATGTTTTTTTTGTTTGTTTTTGCTTTTTAATTAAATATAAAGTAACTTAAGTGTCGTTTTCACTCAAGATATTCCAATTTGTCGTAACAAGGAGAATAATAAATTGAAAATTGGCTAAATTCCCTGGAGCTGATTTGCTTTCAGGGCTTGAATCCTCATCAGTCATGGTGACTGTTTATCACAATGTTGATCAAGTTATTGCATTATTGTATTTCATTACATTTTCATCCATTCATGAACCTACAATAATCATATATAACATTTAAATAGAACGGGTCATCTTGAATGTACTTTGTGACGCCTGTGTCTGTGAAATGTGAAAATGTGAAAACACTTAAAAAGGTTTTTAGAAACGTCTACTGTGTTTTAAGTTGCTAAAGTGCTGTTTTATATGAAAAATATATTCAGAATAAAAAATTTAAAAAGAGACCAGTAGTAATATTTTAGCTATTTCAGTTTCACTTATTGACATTTATTGTGTCGGGTTTTTTTTTTTTAATTAAATGTAAAATATCTTTTATACCAAAGACATTTAAACATGTTTTAGCAGGTTTAAGTAATAAAGTTAACAATGGCTGGATTACTTGTAGCTGCTGTGCGGCCAAACCTATTTATAGGGTGCTTATTACAATATTTGATCAGCTTATTTACATTATTTTATCACAATTTTGATCAAGTTCAGTGCAAATCTGATTACATTTTTAGTACAGTATTGGTTACTAATACAACAATTGTAGCAAATTTAGTTGCAGTTACTGTTATGAATTTTTTTTATTATTATTATTTATTTAAATGTAAAGTACCCTTTTCACCAAAGACATTGTTAACATGTTATAACATGATTAAATAAATATAATGGCTATTATGGAAATGTCTTTGTCACAGCAGGGATGAAAAATAAAATAAATAAGGGCTGAATTCCCTTCATAGTGACTCTTTATTTAGTGCTATTTTATGTGGAATCTGTCCATAATAATAATAATAATAATAATAATAATAATAATAATAATAATAATAATAATAATAATACTAAATATTTTTTATACATATGTAGTTTCACTTCATGACATTTATTTATTTATTTTTAGTTATTTATTTATTTTTAATTAAATGTAAAGTCTCGTTTTTACCACAGACATTTAAACATGTTCTAGCAGGTTTAAATAATACAGTTAATAATTGCTCTGGAGCTGTTTTGCTTTTAGGACTTGAATCTTCATCCGTCATGGGGACTGTTTATCACATTATTTATCAAACTATCACATTATTGAGGTTTATTATGGATTTTTTTTTTTTAACCAAACCAAGTTTTATTCCATGTGTAGTTAATGAATACATCAGTGGGTGTTACGCCTATAATAATAATAAACACGTGTGACCAGCAGATGGCGCCACTGACGCGCTGGTGGCCTGAACAGCGGCTCCGGTCCACAAAGAAGCAGCTTTGTTCAGGGACAGACATGTTCTCACTGACCTTTGTTTCTACTTCTACGTTTCCTTTACTTACGGCTCGGTTTGGCTGAACGACGACGGTTAGTTCAGATACACGTTTTATTTTCTCTTTAAAAAAAGAAATAATTAAAAAAAAATAATAAAAACGTCTAATTTAATTTAGCGCCATAGCGACAAACGTAACAGCGTCGCTTATATCACGATACAGATCAGCTTCAGGCGCGACATGAACGAGGACGAAGCCGTGAGCAGCTTCTGCAGACAGACGATCAGTCGTGTCCGAAATAAGCTCCTCCGGTCCGCTGAGGAGAACCGGAGGAGACAAAGCCCCCGAGCGGCCGGAGGCAGCGACGGGACGGGGAGCAGAGATCCGTCCGAGCCGCCTCCGGTTCCCACAGAACCGAGTCCGGTCCCCCTTCAGCTCATCGCGATGCTCAGGATCAAAACTCTGAAGGAGCGGATGAGGCGGGTTAGGAAACGTCCTCCTGTAACCATGTGGCTGTTATTAAGAGTTTAGAAAATAATAAAAGTGTGGCCATGTGTGTGTGTGTGTGTGTGTTTGGTGACAGGCTGCAGAGGTGGAGCTCCACGATCCCGAAGCCTGCAGCGCCTGCCAGCAGCAACAGGCTTCTCTGGCCTTGAAAACTTTTATCAGGAGAAAGAAGACACAACTGCAGTTCCAAACACTGACGGACAGACTAAACACACACACAGGAGAGAGTGAGTGACTTTCATCAGCTTTAGTGTCACTTATCCTGCCTGTATTCATGTCCGCTGGCCTGATCAGAACTCATGTCTGGTTCTGTCTCCATCGCAGGATTGGACACTTTTGAAGGGAGTTGGTGCAAAAAAAATCTCCCAAAGCCCACCGATGCCCCTCACTGGATTTGGGAGGAACTACTTAGTGAAGATATGCGGGTCACAGCAACCTGAGGTTGCCTTAGCAACCACTAAGGAACGTGGAGTTGCCCTGGCAACAGATGAAATGAGGGGTTACCCTGACAAAAACGCTACAGGAACTCATTTAGCAAGACCTCGCTGTCCTTTTTCAGACAGATAGCTGCAGACATGACGGGCACAGCATTAATACAGTGAAAGGGACAATGATGTGGTGGAGTCAAACATATTCCTGCCTCTTTATTTTCAAACACAGGCTAAACCCACCCATTTGCCCTGCTCGGCTACAGCTGTGTTTACGTTCACGCCGCCGCTAAATAACACAAACAAATGTCTAGCCTTTGTTTTCAGTATAAAAAAGAACGTGCTAACAAGGTTAGTACAAAACAGCAATTTATTTTTCTTATCACTGTATTAAAGTTAAACACGCAACACTATTCAAAGCAAAATGAGTCTGGCCTCCTCCTTTTTTTTTTTCCCTCCAGATTTGGTGGTCACTTGAACACTGTAAACATTAAAACAACATTTTGTTGTATTTTAGCTTCGCACTTGAACCCATTCGATTTTTATATTGGCACAAAAAATACACAACAGACAGCCGTGGCAGCAGGCATGCACTGCAAAAAAAACAAAAAGAAAGAAAGAAAACAAAACAAAAAGGAAGTACAGTAAAATATCTAAGGCAATAAACAATGACAACGGGGGGCAACATTATCTGGACAAATTTGCAATTATTGCAGTTACAATGTTTAGGGGCTAGTAAACTACTATGGAAGTCATACAGTTACATAGAAACACATCCAAAGCACTGAGAAACACAAACAACCAAATGACATGAACCAGATCCTCAGTCAGCTGTTGACAGGTTATGAACAAATTACTAAGACGATTTGTTTAGAGTGTGGAGAACGTCCTGAAAGCATGGACCTGTTATTTCAGTCATATGGAGAAATGTACATAGGACCAGTTGCCGTTAAAACGCTGCTGAAGGTGTGAGCGGGGGGTCTACTCATCTGGCTTCCTCTTGGGCTTCTTTGGGTTGCGGGAGCGGCTCTTGGCCTTGCATAATGGACAGATGGGAGCATTACGATGAATCTGCTGGTGGCAGGACAAGCAAGCCTGGAGAGAGAGAGAGTGGGGGTGGGGGGGAGGAATTTAGAGCAATCATTCACTGTCTTTTCCTGTTGTGTTGTACTGATACACAAGCAGTCCGGTAGCGTGTGGCTAAGCTTACTCTGGTATTAATTTAATGCGAGGCTAGTGCCTGGCGTAGCTTCCTTACCATTTTGTCCGTTTTTTTGGTGCAACTTGGAGCCAATTACATCTTGGAAATTCTGCGCTTTTTTGTATCGTTATGAAGGAAAATACCTCAAGTGCAGCCAAATTAACCGTAACTTGGATGTTCTACGACTTCCACTCGCTATTCCAAACTTAATTTTTCCCATCCCTGCCGCAGCTGCTCTCGGCAGAATCGATACCTTCATCGGCGGCGGCTGCTGTCTGAAGGTGGCCGTCTGGCGGGCGTCCTGCTTCCTGGACACCTGGAGCTGCTGTGCTGCGGCGGCGGCGGCAGCGAGGGATTCTGGGATGGCGGGCTCGTGCGGCTCCTTCTGCCACTCCGCTTTCTGCTTCTCAAAGTAACTGTTTGAAAGCAAAGAGAGGCAGAAACCTCGGCTAGCTGCGATTTCTTATCTAGAGCCTATGAATCACATCACAGTTGAGATTACCCCCATCTAGTCTGTGTATCAAGAGATGAGGAGCGGCAAAACCAAACACAAAAAAAAAAGAGGGGGGGGGAGAGACTTAAAATTGAAGAACATTATAGTCGAGCTAACACATCCTCTTTTTTTATGTACAACTCTCGGCAAAAGCACAGCCATTGTGGGATTGTTTGTCTGCATGCGTGCAAGTGTGTCAGTGTGTGTGGGCAGGGGAGGGCTGGGACAGAAATGTGGCCTTGGACTTTATGCCTGACTGGCCCATTTTCAAAAAAAAAAAGGAAAAAAAAAAAGTGATATCCCATTTCATTACGCTCTCTGGTTTCTCTCAAAATAAGCCTGTGATAGAGTTTTGAGCATTCACAGAACAAATTTAATGTGTTACATTTCTCCTGAACATGATCCACCAAAGGACATCTACAAGCATTAACACCGGCATTAAACCACGGTTAATACGACTGATATGGATTCTGTGCCGTTTTATGTTTTTATATTTCATTTTTTTTCATCTTTGTGCCGATATATCACGCTTACATAGTATCGGAACATGTCCCCCAGCTCCCCCCACCCACAGGCCTGTGAGGTGCGATTTAATTTTCTCCGAACCTCCTCCATCGCATCTTGCGTTACAATCACAGTTATTACTATTAAGTCCAATTACTTATATAAACATGCGACAGTCCCCCCAACAGATATCATCCTACAGCGACGAGTTGTGTCAAACTCCTAACCAACAACAGCGATAAGCCGCAACTTTGCAAGCGTCTCGTATTCGCAGACAACATCAAGGAGTTTGCCACCAAGAAGGGAAAGGAGAGACGACTACCACCTGGCTAGAAATGAACTCATCACCCAAGCTTCCACACAATACACAGCCAAACCGAGGAGCCAGCCTGCCAACAATGCTGCCAGCACACAGGGCAGCACTGGTTCAGCACTCTTCCTCACAATCAAAACTTCTCATTTTTTGAAGACAAAAAAATTTGTATTTCTGCGGCGAATAAAATATTCTCGAAAAAAAAAAAAAAAACACACAATTTGAAAAATTGAAAAATTAAATTCATTTTTTCATTCCCTTAAGTGCTCACAAGACGGAAAGTTTTCCTAAAAGTGAGCAGGAACATCATATTTTTTAGAGACATCTGGGGTTTTTTCTTGTGGCTCACAATGGGCCTTTGGGAGGAGACTACGCAAGACAGTGAGCACGATTAGACCGCATGAAATCTGCAGCTTTTCTGATATTTCTGCATACCTGATGAACAACATGACATTATTATGCTTTAGTAAATAGAGCTCTTGTTAACAAAACTGTTTTAAAAAATTACCCTTTTTCTTTTTTTTATAATTTTGGTGCTGGCTAAAATCTGTCTGTGGGGTGCCTGGAACCTCTGGGGGGCAAAAAAAAATAGATATGAATTTAACTTCTATAAAGGAAAAACCCTGGTAAAGCCTGTGAGTGAGGGACCAGATCAGTTACAATTTGGCAGAGTCATTACGAGCAAACTGAGTCGGTATTTTTATCCATAGGCTGGAAGAAAAACGATTCTCAGATGTAGTCCATCTTTCTACAACTGTCCTGGTATATAGAGAACGTGATGCTTGGTAGGGATCAACCGATTATCAGCCTGGCTAATTATTGTTATTGTTATTTTATATAAACCAATAATCCATCCATCCATCATCTATATACCGCCTAATCCTCAGTAGGGTCTATTCCAGCTGACAGGGCTACACTTAGAGACAGACAACCAAGCACACTCACATTCACACCTACGGACAATTCAGAATCACCAATTAACCTCAACATGTTTCTGGAGGAAGCCGGAGAACCCGGAGAGAACCCACGCTGCACAGGGAGAACATGCAAACTCCACACAGAAAGATCCCGAGTGTCCTCACCGGGACGCAAAACCGGCGACCTTCTTGCTGTGAGGCAACGGTGCTAAGCACCAAGCCACCTTGCAGCCTTTAACCAATAATGAATAAAGTAAATTAAATACTTTGGCTCTGATGCAGCCAGCTCTCGCTCTGTCTATAGGCTAAAACAATGCCCTACCCACGAACAACAGCCAATCAACTGAAAGCTACTGTTCCCCCAGACAATGACAGGCTAGCGCATTTACAGATCAGAGCTTTTTTCTAAGGTGAGGCAACAAATAATGCTGAAGTTGTAAGACCACCACCAGCATGCCCAGTTCCACCACTACACTGAAAATGCCAGAATAATTTCCTTGCAGGTGTCAGTGCAACCTTTACCTGTAAGGCTACCACTAGCAGCTTTGATGTGCCTGTTGGCCTGCAGCTAACGCTATCTGGACTAACCATAATGTTTGCCCAAAGTAAGATTTTGCAGTATTTAACTGGTGGTAAAGTCTCTGCAGCAGAGACACAATCTGTAAAAAACTGAGTCAGAAGCATAGCCATCATCTGATGTTAGTTACTTTCACGGTGGCTAAAGCTACGCCAAGAGCTAAAGGCTAAATTAGAAAGCAGCCACAAATTACCCCGAAACAGTCTCTAGAAAACAAAAACAAGAAATGGTTTAAGATTTCAGTGGGCCGGATATGTGACAGAACAGTGCATTTTAGCCTTGACAGATTTCTGGCAATTTCATAACTGTTTGTTTGTTATATCAGCATCAGACCTGGAAAAAAGAAAAAAAAAAACAAACGGAAACGAAAAAGAAAAACCCAACATATCGGTCGATTCCTCAGACTTAGCTGCTGGTCAGTGGCACTTTCACACGTTCCTACAAAGCAAAGTGTGCACGCTGAAATTAAGCAGGCCAAAGCTTCGCCTTGTGACACCCGCCGGTCTCCTGCTCCATAATCAGGACAAACCTCACTTTCATACTTTGAGACCATCAACTATGATTTGCTCTGTGTTCAGCTGTACAATCATCCACTGTTGATGGATGTTTGCGGTTTGTGCTGCTGGATTGTGTACTCGTCACATGTACCTCAAATGCTGCGGCTAACGGGAACTTGAGCTTACTCCTCAGCAGGATTTAGACAAGTTTCTGGACCGAGAGCATCTGGATAGCTGGAGGGGAAATAGGGATCTTGTGAACAGGCTAGCAGACTTTGTTTATCAAGATAATATCTATCAGACACTTCTTTTTTTAAATGTGAACATATTCCAAAGTCTTTCACAATACCACCAAGAACTTGTTTTTTTTAAAGACATTCCTAAATGTCCTTTTGACTTAGCTAGACATCTACAGCTGTTTCTCTGTTGCCCCCCTCCAACACAATGGAGTTGTGTTTGCATCTGAAGCATCAACTAGAATTCCAGCGTTGTCCGTCAACCACTCAAGCTTCAGTTTACATCCAGAAACAGAACCCGCCGATGAAATTCCACATGCTGCTGCTGTTGTTGTTATCTAGCATGTGGAGCACCTGCAGCATCTAAGGTACATGTGGTGTTTTCAGTTCAACACAAAAACTGGTGCTTTCTGAATTCTGGCATCAACTTGTTCCTGGGCTGGTAGTTTTTACGACAGTCCTACACAGAAGATCTACACAACGGAGATGCAATGACGAATTAATTAGCTTGCTACTATAAAAATAATCTGATTTCATGTTGGTATTTTTTGGTTTCTTTACTCCTCTGTGACGGTAAACTGATTATATGTGACATTATAGTTTCCATCTTGGGCTTTGGGAAAGCGTTACTGACACAACATTTCTGACATTTTCCATCAACTGATGGATTCATCAAGAAAATAACTGACAATTTAATCAAGGAAAATAATTGTCAGTGGCGACTCAGAAATACAATTACCGCAGTTTCAAAAGGGAGCGTTTGCAGTCGTGAATCTGATCGAATTGTTGTGAGAGGTCAAAGCGACCCTGTAAATCTGCCTGACCACCGACGACAACAAGAAAATTTACCGCTGAAGCGATACTCAG